CCTCTCCACGGCTGATCCCGGGAAGCAGACAGCCGGCCTCTTCCCTGAGGTGCCTCGGAGAGGGCTCGAAATGGCAACCTTTCAGTTTGCAGCGAATTCCTTTACCGTTTGCACCACCCCAAACCCTGTCATCCAGTGGGTTCTGACTCACAGACGCCCCCCACACACTGGGTTTCTGAGACTGCGAGTCTTTATGGGGGAGACTGCTCCTCTTTCCACAGGGGATGGTGGACTTGAACTGCCGGCCTGGTGAGCAACAGAACACGTACTGTGCGAGGAAACCAGAGCTCCTCCCTGGGCAAAGCCTGACAGTCCTGTGTCGTGTGACCGGAGCGTGTATGTATGTGCAGACGCGCAAACCCCACCTACAGCCATCCGGGTCCCGCTGCAGCTGACCCTCCCGTGGGTTCAAGAGCTGGAAGTCATCCCACAGGAGACTGTCTCTGCCACGAAACAGCTGGCAGATACGAAGCACCAGCCTGTGCACTAGCAGTGCGACGCCTTACCCACGAGGCCACTAGAAAGGTCAACTGGCAGCATACCTGCCCCCTTCTCCATGTCCACAGCCTCCTCCACAGAACCTCACTATAGATCTGAGGTGTGCTCCCCTGTCCCCTAACTTGGCGCTCCAGGCACAGGGGTCAGCCTCGGCACCAGGCAGGGTCAGCTGTCCGCAGGAGGCCAAGGAAGGGACTCAGCTCATTTCAGAAAGCAATCTGGGACTGACAGTTTCCAAAGGCAGCCACAGAAGACCTGGCATCTGGCCAGACCCCTGCCCACTTTGACATGTGCCCTGTCCCAAGGTCACGGGCTTCCTGACACGGCTGTGACACTGCCACCCCTGATGTCCAGCCGACAGGCACCTGGTGGCCGAGGCCTGTACTGTGTGTGCTGTGGATGTGATCCACATTCTCTGCCCCTAACGTCCAGCCGACAGGCACGCCTTGGTCGAGGCCTGAACCCTGTGTGCTGTGGGTTTCATCCGGATTCTCTGCCCCTAATGTCGCCTTGGCCGAGGCCTGGACCCTGTGTGTTGTGAGTTTGATCCGGATTCTCTACCACACAGAAAATGACAGTAAGTGACGATGAAGGTCTGGGCTTTGCCTCCAGCCTCCCCAACCCCACGCCTCGCTGCCCACAGCCCCGCTCCCCTGCCTCCATGATGAAGAAGGCAGGGAACAGGGAGAGGCAGAGACACCCATGTGATGAGTCCCTACTCTCTGCTCCGACTTCTGAGGCCCTGGGAACGGGGCACCCTGGGAGCAGCTGGCGTCCCTCCTAGGGCAGCACAGGGTCTCAGCAAGAGGCCAGCAGTCAGCTCAAGTCCTGGTCAAGAGCAGGGTGGTACACGATGGTCACAGCTGGGCTGCGAGAGCCCAGGGCAGCACCACCCTTCTAGGATCCCCGGTACGCAGGACACGCAGCCCCATAACCATCTGGTCCTCTCCCGTCACGGGGTGTGTGAGTGGACTGAGCCGTCTTCATCCTCACCAGGAAAGGCCCCCTTGCTCTGCTCCTTGTCCCCTGCCAACCCTCAGGCATGAGGCCAAGGCCCACCCACCAGCACCACTGCACCCCGAGACTCTGCTGCACACTGGTCACCCCAACACTTTGTCAAATGCAGCAAACACCCCTGAAGGATGGGCCACCACCAAGAACAGGCTGTTCCAGCCCTCCACTCTCTTATGCTGTAAAAGAAATAAATAGTGACCGAAGGAAGTGATATATTAAGATCAGTGCCGGCTGCCAAGTCTGTAAAGGCCACGACAATTAGTGTTCACGCAGCAGACCCACCACGAGGAGAACGGCCTCTCCACAAGTGTGGGGTGAGCACCCCTCTTCCCGCTCCCAGGCTCTGAGAACTCTGCCTTCCAAGTAACCTCACCCGGGCTCGGGGACGCTGGGAAGGGAACATATAGGCCCCTGGGCACCGGACAGGCCCTGGGCACCATGGATCTGGGTGAGCAAGCTCGGCGGGCCAGCACAAGGCTCAGAGTGTGCCCACAGGACACTGGGCAGGGACAGGGACCCACATGCGCTTGCCCTGGTGAAGTTCCCTCTTTATAAACCCACGTCATACCCAGCTTCTGCCACCAGGCTGGACAAGAAGAGACTAAAAACTCAGTCCCCATCTCCAGGGGCAGTGCTGGCCCTCTGTCCTCCCCGGAAGAGGACAGGTTTAGTGACAGTCAGGCTCCAGTCCCCGGGGACAGAGCCGGAATCCTGTGGCCGCTGTGTCCCGGCAGTCCGGCTTTGTCTTCCTGCTTCTCTTACCCCCCCCACCCCACCCCCGTTACGTAAAGTCTCCCCACAAACGTGTTCAGGGTCAGCCCCACAGGTCAGCCCAGGACTCAGGGACAAGCAGCCCAAGTTGCTGTCAGAGGACAGGAACGGCTCCAGGGAACCCGGCTCTTCCCCCGAGTCTGTGCTGCCAACAGCTGCCTCCGTCCCCTGCAAATCCCCGTCACATGCCCTCCACTCGCACCTCACACAGCTGTCCTTTAAGCACATTCCCGGCCAGCCCCACACCCTGGGCCCCCCACGCCTGCTTCGGACACAGTCCACAAGTACGCAGGCCCAAGGGCTCGCCTGTGCCCGGAAGGCTCAGAGATTCTGAGAGTGGAGGCTAGGGCCAGGTGGACGGCCCCGGGCCTGCATCCATGTCCAGAGGGCCTGTCCCTTGGTCCCCTGGCCAGCAGCCTGGTATCACCCAGTCCCTGTGTGGCCTGGCCATGCTGGCTGCACTTAGGCCCCAAAGAGCTTGTCCCCTTCTAATCAGGGCCTCATTCATCTCACACACGGTGGGAGGCTGCCTGGTCTGAGGGGGCAGAGGCACCGTGGGGTGACCTGCAGCTCTGCACAAAAGCCGGAGTGTGCGAGGGGCTCCCTGTGGCCCCATTCTTCACCCAGCTTCATGGAGATGGTGATTTAAACAGCTCCTTCCCACTCAGCCCAGACAACAAGTGACGACTGTGTGCCCGCCCGCCGGCCTCCCTCCCGCTGGCCAGCGCCCTGCCAGAGGAAAGGGCTGGAGCCAGCACCCGGGAGCCAGAACGGCCTGGGGGGAGGGAGGTCCCCAAGAAGCAAGCCTGCCCAGTGATGCCAGCCAGGGCTGGGCCCCTCTCCTCAAATACTCCCCCCTGGTCCCCAAGGTCCCCATGGAGATGAGTGACTGAGGGTCAGAAGAAGGAAGACGGTGCCACTGTAGTGACCTTCCGGGTGGTCAGAGCAGGGAGCACGGGACCCAGGACGTCGCAGGGTCCCACGGGCTGTGCAGACAGATGTGCAGAAAGGCCTCCTCCTGGACTGTGTCTGTGGGCACTAGTGCTGATCCCGGACACCACTGGTGTCCTCTAAACACCCCACCGCCCCACAGACAGATGGCCCAAGTGTGTCAAGTGTTGTGGTTTCTGGGGCAGCCCACCCCCCAAGCACAATGCCCACTGGACAAGGGCCCAGCTCTGGCCAGCATCTTTTAGCTTGGGCCGGAGCACAGCTCCTGAGCAGAGACTGCCCAGCCCCGAGCCCCCAGGAGGGATCTTTCCAGCTACCTGCTGTCCACACTCTGAGGCTGTTAGCTGCTAATCTCTGAATTAGCAACAATGCAGGAATGCCCCCCTCACCCCAGAAAACCGGAAGGCCACCAGCATGCTCGACCTTCAGAAAGAGCTGAGATTCTCCCGTCCAGATCCATGCAAACAGCAAAGGCCAGAGCAAGAGGCAGCTTGAGGAGCGGCCAGTACTCATGGGGCAGCTCTCCCCGGGATGGGCCTCTGTGCGGGGACCAGTCACCGGCCGGGGCCAGGACTCCAGGGAGCAGCTCTGTCCCCAGTTCCGGGCTGGCCCCTGCGGTGGGCTGGCTGTGCTGAAGTAGGTCAGTAGGAGGACTGCCTGCAGCTCCCAGTAGAGCCTAGGCAGCCCTGCTGGGCAGCCGCCTGCCTGGAGCTGCAGCCACAGTCGCTCTCTTGCGGGCCTGAGCCCTGCATCCCCCGCTTCCCGGACACAGGTCCAAGGAAGCGAAGGGCACAAGCCCTAAGGAGGTCAGGGCAGAAGCTCCCCTGCCCAGCTGCTCAGGCCAGAGACTCATTAATTAGGCGGGGAGCAGCCGGAGGTGGGAAGGCGAAGGCAGTAATGAGAGTCCCAGCTTCACTGCCAGCTCAGGCTTCAGGCACCACCTCCCCGACGCCCAGCGATCTAAGGCCGGTCTGACCATGCAGGGATGGCCACCGAGGTGAGGGACACGGGCCTCCAGAGACCAAGGGCGCCACTGTCCCCACTGCGCAGAAGAAGCCCTTGTGAGGGGAATCCCACCAGGGCCAGGAAGTTTCCCCGGAGCAAAACCAGGGAGCTGGCCAGTGGGACCTCCGCCCCTAGCGGCCAGTCCCCATACAGGGCCCCCTTCCAGGAGTCGCTCAGCGGGCGAGGGTCCCAGAATAATCATGCTGCCCACGAATAGAACCCGAGGGCCCGGCCACCGTCCCGCAAGACTGTGCTTGGCGGATAACAGGGAGGACAGAGAGCCGAACTGGGTGCGGGTCCGGGTGGCCAGGCGCCCCTGTCCAGCGCAGGCTCCAGCCCAGCCCTGGCGCCCCTGCTCCCAGGCCTGGAAAGGAAGCTGCTGGGGATGCGGGTGCGGTGCTCCCGCCTGCGCCCACTCCAGCCCGGCCGCCAGAGTGGAGCGCGGGTGCCATCTACCGAGGGCCATGTCCGCCGAGCCATGCGGGCCCCGGGCAGGACCCAGGGAAGCTGGGCAGGGGCCGGGATGGTCGGCCGGCGCGAGGGTGACAGGCTGTTCGCGCCCCTATCCGCATGCACCCTTGCGCAGGCCGCCCAAGGCCCCGCTGGGCGCGGAGCACCGGCTCATCGCCGACCAGGGAGCGGGCAGAGGTGCCTCCGCTGGCCGCCTCGGCCCCGCAGTGATGCGGGCCAGGCCCGGGGAGCGCGCGGCGGCGGCGGTGGCGGAACATGCTGGAAGCCGCGCTCGGAGCGGGGACAATTACCTTCTTTGAGGAAGTGCGAGTGGATGACCAGGACGAGGAAACAGCAGAGCGCGGCGCCGGCGAGTGCCCAGAGCGCTTTCAGGAGCTGCATCGCGGAGTGCCAACTCGGCCGACGCCCCCGAAGTCGCGCAGCGAAGGTCCAGGCACCGCATCAGCGCCCCGCCGGGTGCAGCCGCCGTGGCCGCCC